ACTAAACTTGACAGTCTAAGCGATATGTAGCGCTTTACGAGTGTTACAAAGCTTTATATATATATACATTCTTGTGTTCCTCATTTTCAAAACATATCATTGGGAGGTGGGAGGGGTCTTTTTAGTCCAAAGATCTGCGACAGCCGCCCCCCCCCCCTTCTTCGCAAAAGGTTATCACATTATAGAGATGCTATTATAATTCCAAGTTCTATATCAAACACTGATGTGCCTTTAGGCTTTGGGTTTTAAAATTAGGGGTCACACTTTTCTGTATTTTCTAAAAAGGATTTTGCAGCCGCTGATTTTAATCAAAATGATATGACTAGAACCCGTCTTATAAACAATGGCGATTGATTTGAATCTATCGTAACATGATACCAAATGCAACTCAGTATAAGAAAGAGGAGAGTTTGCGATTGATTGGAGGACTTAATACGATCAATCTGGATCAATCGCAACACTTTACAAGACGGGAACACGGTGATAGGGGTCTGTTTCATAAAACTTGTTCTAAATAACAAATTACAATACATGTTATTAGCTACTGAAATCATTGCATTCCATTGGCTGAGAGCAAATATGTCATAGAATTTTAGCATTTTCTTATTGATGGAGAGTTGTATGATTCTGAGCCCAGGTTACTGTTTTCTTAACGACCATTGTGATATTGCCTTATTTAAACTTTGAACCAGCCGTTACATGCACGTCAACGTGGATTGCGAAATGGCATACGGTAAAATCCCCTTTTGATAAACGATTCTCAAAATCCTTTGTCGCTGTAAACTCACGAATATTCAATCAGTGGTTTCAATGGGTGAATGAATATGATATTTACATTGACCAAATTTGGGCACAAACTGGCACTTTTTGTTAAATCTCTTTTCAATAGACATCCACTTGCATTCCTTGCATACATTGGTTACGGGTAAATATTATCAGGTCTGGTTCCAATTGGTATTTCTTAACAACTTTAGAACTTACACAAAGCACCTCCGAGCTAGCTCCGTGCAAGCATTACATTAAAATGAAGAAGCGAGAATATCGCTTTGAAAGAAATGTGAACTCAACATGATAAAATAAGTCGCATGCAGTTATGTGGAATTTAAAACAAATGTTTATGAAGAGTAGAGTGGGCTACCCGATCGGAAACATGCGCCAATTGAAAGTAGAAATGTTCTGGTCATATCTGATACCGTCTTGCCAGAAACGGAACCAGGGTAATTAGGTGATATCCAATATAACAGTCGAAACAATCACTTACAGATCTATAGGCCATGATCCATGTGGTTCTATTCGCCTTCTGTAATGGATGCGGCATTAAATGAGAGCAACCGCCCTGTCTTATGCTCTTCGTCCACGAGATCATAACAGAATATTCTTTTCGATAACAAGGAGATATTATTTGACGAATGAGGTGCTTACCTCGATTCTGTCTGCTCACGTGCACACTGTCTTCTCCAACTGATGATCACAATATTACCTTATTTAGTCATAGTCTTATTCGGTATGACCATATTTGGTGTTATGACATGAATCATAATTATCATGACAGAAGTTGCCCCCCCCCCCCGGTGCCGTTCCATACATTCTTCACTCTCCTGTACGGTATACGTGTTTGTCTTTCTATACATGGCAGAAAGGTTGATGATTATCTGACCCCCCCCCCCTCCTCCATACACACAAATACTATGTTTTCTTCGCTCACCTACACGTTCATATTAATTTTGTATGGAATTTACGCTTTGGTATTACCTTCCCCCCCCCCCCTTCGATAATGTAGATGTTCTACCTCCATCGTGACGTCATGAATCCCAAATCCTATAGTGAAAGGGAAAATCAGTGCGCAGACAACTGCCAGTGTATAGGCATTATTTTTGACAAACACTGCAGAACCCTCGATGTTGGACGTTACAGTTTGTATTGAGTTATGGAAGAGGTGCTATATACACCGAAGTTGTTTTATAACTGCACAATTTATTCGTGGTTACTTCATCCATCGCTCCCTATAGGATTCCCAATCATGGATTATTATATTGTATTCTGGTAAGTCTTTTGCATAACTCAGAACATCTTTTATAGTTCACTTATAGTATATATATATATATGTATATTTCTTGGAAGTATTCAAACGGCTGATTATGTGTGTATCTTTAGGTTATCGGTATAACAAAACATTGATCAACTGCGAGTCATGAATCAATGAGGAACTATATAACCAAAGAAAACGGATGTTTCCTATACCTTGAAGTATATTTGTAATCCGGGGACTTTTTTTCTCAAAACATTCAGGTTGCTTTCTGACGATCCTTTTGAAAGTATAATAATATTGAACTGTTGTAGCTATGACTTTGACGTGGACTAACATGATTGGAGAGATATGCATGATAGTGGTTACCTGTCTATAAAAAAAGCAAATAATTTATGCTACAATTTAAAAAAAAAATGGGACCGCTATGATGGAAATTCGATCAATACAATAAAAATAGAGCATTTAAGACTTATTATGGAAGAAAAAAAAATTCAAGAATGTTTTTATCTATCATAACCTAATTTTGCCTTAGAAGAGAACAAGGAAGAGGAAGCGAAGTTTTCAAAAGTTTTCTAATTTTTGACAATAGTATATGCATCGATGCACATTGGAAAATGCCATATATGGTACAATCCAAACAAACATTGCCCTTAAAAAGGCATGCGATGTATAGAGCTGAATAGTATTCAGCTCTATATATAGATCCATGGTTTTGTCAAATCTAAGCCGTTACGATACAAGCTGCAAGCAGTCATGGCAGTTTCGGTGAAACTGCTGATTCCGGCCACATGTTTATTTTCTAGTGGGTAAGTCATTGGGTTGTTTTATATTTAAAATGTTTTTATTGAATATTCATTTGCTCGTTAATATTTATTAGAACATATATGGGCCTGTTCATGACGGAGGTTTTTACAGCACGGTTGCAGAAAATTTAGTTACTGTTTTATGATGCAGTGAAACAAATGATGCCATGATCATTGCAAATCAAATGTGTAGCTCGAAGGGGCGTGGGGAAACACGCCACCACCCCTCCAATTTCTTTTAATAAAATAACGATTATAGAGAGAACGGAAATGAAAAAAGAACGAGAAAATAAGACGCCCGGGGGTTTTCACAAAGATCCTAAGTCAAACTTAACTCTAAGTTGGACTTAAAAATTATGGAGACCTTTTTCTAGCCTTAAAATGAAATATATTAAAAAACGAAAATTCAAGTATTTTTACCTTGTTTTGAATTCCACATCAAGAACATGAAATATCCTCGATAATATAAAAAAAATATAAATGATTTGAATCAACATTCATGCCTTTTTAAATAACTTATACTAAATATTTTCATAGATGCTAACGGCTTTCCATAATATTTATTCTTTGTGAAACACCCCCCTGGACACCTCCTCCCGCACTCCTCCCAATCGGCAGCCTTGCCATTTTAAGCATTTAATTTCTCGAGTAAGACCGATGCCCCCAATCGATCCCGCGCCCCCTCGTTAAGTGGACTCACCCTACGCCACAGTTTGAATTGCATGAAAGTACATGTGGTAGGTTTGCCAAGCCTGAAAACTTCCAGATTTTATTTTATTTTCCCGATTTTTTTCTTCTTCCCAAAATGGATAGACTAGTCCATAAGATCGATGTAAATCCGGTTTGAAATTATGGTGGGTGATGTGACGTTTTTTCATGACTTGCTTGTACGCCTCGCGAAAGCGCTCTGCACCTCGCTTTGCTCGGATTTCTAAAAACCAATTTTTTTTTGTTTAACTCTCACTAAAACCCTTTTTTTAAACTCTCATTATCACCCCTGATTTTGGTTTGCGTACTCTATACAATCACTCAAGTTGGATTAAAAGGTTATATACTCGGGGAGGAGTAGGCCTATGTGTATAGGAAGTAAGATCTGCAATACGGGACATAGAGGGACATAGATTCATAACATTAGTCGTGCTAATACAAATGATATTATCAAAACAAAAATAGAATTAAATCGTATGACCCGTGCTTTCTTTGAACAAGTTGGAATTCACTTCTGTCGAGTTTGAACTTTAAAAATATAGAAATTGAATTTAGAATTAACAGTATGCAAAAAATACACATAGAAATGCAAACACAAAGTGACCACCATGAAGTGATAGTTAACGTTGCGTGCACGTGATAGAATTCAGAATTCGATATTCGAAATTTCTGTCGGAAAATTAGGGGTAAATTACTGAAGTAATCAGTGGCGTAATGAGCCAAAACTTTTGGGGGGTGAGAAGAAAATCCGCATCATCACCAAGTAGCATAATGCAGGGGCGGCGGAGCGTCTTCCAAAGTAGGAGGGGGACACCAACAAAAAGGGCACTTTCCCGGAAAAAGGGGCACCTACAAGGGAAACATCAACAACAACAAATACACCATTTGTTCACATTGGTGTGTATACCCTTACATCGTCACGATTGTCATTACACTATACCAGGGATGACATCAATATTTGTTTCTTTCTTTATGTGGTACAATATACTGCTTAATCTACATAATTTGCAGTTGGGTGTGAGCGAGCAAAAAATTTAAGATTTGTGAGGTCCAAGTGCGAAAAATTACATTTTATAAAGAAGACTAAAACATTCCCTGATGAGTATTAGGCACAATCTAATGACGAAAGACTGAAAAGTTCTTAATAGGCCTAAAAAAACCACATTTGAATTTTATTTGGGGGTCATCTGCCCCCCAAGCCCCCCCCCCCCCCCCCCCCTCATCAGTACGCCAGTGGAAGTAATAATGTTGTAATTATAGCTACCACGGGAAATGGACGGGGAAGTACGAGATGCAGTTGTAATACCAGGACGTTTCTAGCGGATGCGTGTGTAATATTTAAAGAAGTTGAAAAAGTTTTTCCCCATAGCACTATTTGTAGCTCTCTACGATGGAAGCATTTTCACAATTTGCAGGAGATATAGGATGGCTAATCATAATAGAGGGTACTTGCATTACTCGATAGACAGGCTTTTTTTCTTTGTTTCTTGAGGTAAGCTTAATAGACTATCATAATAGATGTTACAATAATAATATTTGCCGCTGCCTATATTTGATCAGGACCCATATTCATTTAAACTTATTTAAAAGACAATTTAAGCGCGCTATTAGTTTATTGACTACAATCATAGCGTCTGGGTTCCTTTTTTTTTAATATTAAGGACACGACCCTCTTTTTACTATATTTTTCATATTACATTTTCAGGACGTTCGATTACAAAGAATGATATTTGTTATTGTAAAAGATAAGTACCTTAATAATTTCAATACGTTCGACCGGTCTCAATGCTTAGGTGTTTTCAAAAATATTATTGATGGATGTTTCAAGCAAGGAAGGTCAAATAATCGCAGAGCTTTATGACAGCGGCTGAATTAATTACATCATTCCGGTCAGGTGTCCATAATGTTTTTCTGTATAAAACGAAAACCGGCTGACTGAATTCAACATAGGCCTACAAGTACCAGTGGAATCCCGCTTTAATTCTTTTCTTTTTTGATATTTGACAGGGATGTATTGCGACAAACATTAGATTGTTACATAATAGAACGTTTTCCCAACGTCGATGAAAAACTTTGTATTACCTGAACATTGCGCAATTAAGATAAGCCTCGTTATGCACGCACGTGTGTTCATGTCAAGTCCATAGTTTAATTTCGTAACCATGCAAGGAGCGTTTCTTCATCGAAATCATTGCTAAAACGTTCGACATTCTGTAGCGAACTTGTGAACATAAACGAGGATTATGATCACATATCATGCAGGTAGGAGACAGAGATGTCGGATAAGGACCACAATTTCCAAGGATGGAGTCGCAATTTCGTAGAGGTTGGTTGCAGCAAGGAAATTTTCGGGGATTCCCCTTTGTGTAGCCACTAGCCAGCCCGCCCTGTATATATAGTCGTGGTGCAACTCTTTCCCCCCTTTTTGTTAATTTGTTTGTTGTTCGCTGCCAAAGATTTTTGTTTTTTAAATAAATTGTTTAAATATCATTGTTGAACATTATATTTGTACTATTCAACTGTATTTCTTCCATGCCCCATAATCGCCCGTTATAGAAATTACAATCATTGTCATTGTCATTGTCATTGTCATTGTCATCGTCACGATCTACCGCGTCCGTTTGCCAGTTTGGAATTAGGCTAGCTGAAGTTAAAGAAGGTAAAGCCACTAAATAAAAGCTAACCATCGAAAATCTGTATTTCCTACCACTTGCACCGAGATGTATACTGAAATTTAAAGGTAATGATGAATTTCGGTTTGGTTTCACAACAAGAGCAAAGACAGGGTCAGAAATTTTCATCGAAAATGCATGCAATAAAAAAAATGGCCGATTAATCGGGAGTAGGCGTCTACGAAGTAATGCCATATTGTAGACCTACGTGTAATGTGTAGGTAGACCTAGATCTATACCGGTAATAATAATAACCTCGCTGCTACTAGCTGCTACTAAGTACTAGCTGCTACTAGCTGCTCGCACTGCACTGACTGAGTGTGACACCACGACTGCTACTGTTAGAATATTGTGTGGCTTTAGTTAGTGTTTCCATAAATATATGTATGTAGTAACTCCACTTCACAGTTTAAAATGATCTGTGACTTTTCTGCGTACTTCGAACTTGGAAGTGTGGGCCTTGTGGACTAATGACTAATAATGAGCATGTGCATGTATGCCAGTGGGATTAGATGGCATGGATTCATTTTAAGTCTACAGTTGACAATCCAAGTCGGATCCTAACTTCCAAGTTCACAACAATAGGCTTTTGTTTTAAAAAAAATGAGTTACTTGATCACAAAAGATGAGCACAAGTGCAGTGTCATGTATCATTAATCTTTTAGCTTTGTGTTGCACCTTTTGTACAAACATCTCTGAGCTGGGGGGACTTGATTAATACTGTAATGCAACATCAATTATTTTTATTTTTTTTTCAATTTCCTTCCTTTCGTGAAATACAATAGGGCATTTGTCTTTAATACTATACTACTACTACTAATAATGCAATAGTAGGAACTTTTAAATTTATTTGAATGTAGATCTATGTCAACAATTTTTATTAATGCAAATCAATTTTGATATAATTTTATTTTATTTCAGGCTTTTCTTTTGCCAAATGTAAAGTCATTTTTGTCCTTCTTTTTCTCTTTTGAAACGGTACACTCTTACAATCTGCACAACATATAGTTGTTTTATATTTATCATCTCATGATTTGATTTTTGCATCTTCTTGGTATTGAATTGATATCTAATGTAGTAATGTTTTATTTATGTATATTTATGTCTAATACTATTAGCTAATCGAGAGCCTTTTACAGAAGCTCAATTTCTTTTAGTAATCCACAGGCACTAGTTATGGTTTCCTTTCTTTTGTTATTGTATTTATTATTGTACATGTACTTTGTTATTGCCTTAAATCTTAATATTCCTGGAAATGACAAAATAAATAAAAACAGTTGGCTAATATACCATCTTTTTTGCCGTTTTCATGCAAACAGACCATATCAAGCATTAAATGCAGTATACCTAGACATTGTATGTCCGGATAGGTTGTGTATCTGGACAGCTGATTTAAAACATCAATTTGAAGAAGTTTACAAGCAATATTTGTATAGATCTTCTAAGACTTAATTGGAACAATATTATACAGGACAAATATTCATGTAAAATTAATGCTATGGGATGAATATTATAGTATTAATGACTGCTTTGAGAGAAATAGTTGTTTTTATACGCTCAAGGGAAGGTTAGAATTGTGCTATTACCCGAGGCGTGCCGAGGGGAATAGCCCAATTGTAACCTTCCCGAGAGCGTATAAAACAACTATTTCTCGAATATTAAAGCAGTCATTAATACTTTTATATGCCAAAAAAAAAAAAAAAAAAAAAACTTTTGTCGAAGATGGGATTCGAACTCTTGCGTACCAAAGGTGATGTTGCTAAAGTCAGCGCCTCAAACCGTTCGGCCAGCGCGCTCTGTCACCATACACAGTAGTTTTCTTTAATATATACATTAAAATGAATTGAAAACGGCTTCGCGTGGTGGAAGCTTCGCGGCTGCTCCATTAAACGGGTCCTTCTTTTACTTTTGCAATGCATATTGGCACGAACTTAGATCAAGATCTATCGGCAGATGTTGTTTTTTTTGTTTTTGGAAGTTTATTTTCGTCTTCATGTCAACAATGCAAGATAAAATTGTCGGTAAGATCGATCGAGATTCAATTGTATTGAAATTACCGACCAATTCTTCGCACACATAGGGTATCCTCGATCGCTCAGACCATTTTTTAACATGTAAACCTATGGGGTAACCATGGAGACTGACCTATTTTCCCAATAACCATGGTTATTGGGATTTTGAACTGTTTTTTAACCATGGTTACCGGGAATTTTCGGGAACAATTAAAGTTTATGAATGCAATTTCGACCAATCAGATTGCTGGATTACTTAAGTGAGGTATATAATATTCATTAAATAAGGAAAAAGAGAAGGCTTTATTTTTTTAAGTGTCCTAACACGCCATCCCCTCCCCCAAATAATTTTTTTCTTATCCTTTTGTAATGGAATGATCATTGAATAAGATTGGAATCATGTGTTGTAAAGTGTAAAATTAATTTTATACGATTAAACCAGCCCTGGTAATTAAGAGAGAAATTTAACAAAATGTTGTTGAAGATGCATGTCTGATTTTCTTGAATGTAATTGGATTTTTATTGCCTCCCTTTTTTTCGAAGTTAAATTTTCAACTGATTTTTTTTCTTCTTCTCCATTATTGTAGGTTATGGAACATAATGGCAGAGCACGCCAACCGGTACCCAACATACGTAGTACCCCAGGTTATATCATCTTCTTGGATACTCCGCTGGGACAAGGTGCAACAAGCAAGGTCTATGGAGGAAGACACAAGGTAAATACCCGTTTTGTCAGCTGATGCCAGAGTATTTTCTTTGGGGAGCTCAAGTCTCTCTCTCTCTCTCTCTCTCTCTCACTCTCTCAAAAACATAAATAAAACACCAAGTTTTAAAAATAGTTCTCATATTATTCATTTTAAAGAGCTATATTGTCAAAAATCTCCGGCAAGCAACCAAAATAGAAACAAAGCTTGTCAAATTTAAGGGGAATGTAGGGAAAATCAAACAATGCTGCCTTTAGTTTAGATACTGCAAGTTAATATCAAGATTTGAGGATAGCTGGATTAAAAAGTAGTTGATTGTTCCAAGAGGAAGGATTATTTCATTCACAAATCACAACTCAAAACTTCATTAATACCAATTTTTCAATTTTTCTGTTTAGTGTAAAAACAAGCTACCGGTAGTCAACAAGTTAGTATTTAAAGACTTAAAAGTAATGATGTGGTCAAAGTTGATGTAGGAATGTCATTCAAGCTTTTATTGTCCTTTGTGAATACAAAACAAATACTTCAATTCTTGCAGAAATCTGGAAAACGGGTAGCGTGTAAAGTGCCACACACTCCGAGTCTCTTCAGAATGGGAACAGACATGGAGAGAGAATCGCAGGTTCTGCTTGGACTACGCAACCAAAACATTGTCTGTCTTGAGGCAATAGAAAAAGATGTAAGTTGAAAGCAAGGTATTAACGGACCAATTAATTTAGTATTGTACGACACCACAGCTTTTTTAAAAATTGCTATCATGTTTGATTTTATTGTTTCTTTTATGCTTCTTCCATGCTTGTTTGCAGCAAATCTCCAAAGAGAACATTCTTATCATGGAGCTTTGTACAGGAGGGAGTCTCTATGACGTGTTAGAAAAGCCTGAAAATTCCTGTGGACTTGCAGAAAAAGATTTCCTTCAAGTGCTTGCTGACATTAGTAAGTGGATAACTCAAGGAAACGCCGATGCCGAAGGCGTCGGGAGCTTCAGCAGGTGCATCAGAAAATATTCAAACAGCGGGTTGGCCAACATTATCTCAAAATATGCAAAGGGAGTAATTACAATTTTGACTTACTAGCTTGCCCGACTCCTCTGGGCATCTGGCATGCCACTTCAAATTATAATTTGAAGAAGTCTTCGATGGAAAAAAGGGCGTGATTCTTCGTCCTACCCCGACGATTCTTCCATGTTGTATCGTCGACTCAACATGGCAAAGAGAAAGTACGCATACTTTCTCTTCGCCGGTTGAATCAACTTCAAATTATAATTTCAAGTGGCCAGCCAAATGCCCAGAGGAGTCGAGCAACCTAGTAAGTCAAAATTGTAATTACTCCCTTTTGCATATTTTGAGATAATGTTGCCCAACCCGCTGTTTGGATATTTTCCAATGCACCTGCTGAAGCTCCGACGCCTTCGGCATCGGCGTCGGAGCTTCCTGGAGTTAGTAAGTGGATAGCTCCTACAAATTAATCAATTTGTAGAAATTCTGGCAAAATCATGTAAAATATGGATTAGAACATATAAAATTTGTGAATTTCATATCAACTGTGTCTGTTCAATAATACATTCCTTGCTTCTTTCCTTCTTTGCTTTTCTTTTTCTCAGCTGCTGGCATGAAGTACCTGCGTGATAATGGTGTGGTTCACCGCGATGTGAAGCCTGGTAACATCATGTGCTTCAAAGATGACCATGGACATACCATCTATAAGCTAGCGGACTTTGGTGCTGCAAGACAACTCACTGATGATGAAAACTTCACCAGTCTTCATGGTACCGAGGAATATCTAGTATGTTTATACTTTTGTCTTTCTAACTACCTATGTAGTTGTTGGTCGTATCATGACAGGAATATTAATGGAGTCTGCAATAACCTGTTGAATACCAAACCTGAAATAAGTCTTGTTGAAACCCTTTGAAAATTTAGGGAAAATGAAATCATCTGTCATATGTTAAAAAGAGGATGAAAGCGTCCTGCTGTTCTATTATAAAACTGGGGTATGAATTTGAAAGAACATGTCTATTCCAGTAACGCTGCATGTTATATTGCTACAAAGAAGTACTGTGAAAAATGCTCTGGTGACAATTGCTGTGGGCTATATTTCATATAGGTTAGGGTTAGTTCTGTAATTAGGTTTTGGGGTAGGTTTATAGTTAGGATTGTGTACAAATATAATGTTTAGTCCAGGGTTAAAGATTAGAAATTGGTTAGTGAAGAATATTGCCCATGGAGCTACCTACACAAATTATATACTCTTTGTGATAATAGATTCATTGATTTTTTAACGGTATTTCATTGATCTTCAATTTTCTGACCATTTTCCTCATTTTCCTCCAGCATCCGATGGTCTTTGAAAGAGCAGTGCTGAGGGAACCTGCGGCATTGCCCTTTGATGCCAGGATTGATCTCTGGAGCATTGGAGCAACACTGTATCATCTAGCAACGGGCCAGTTACCCTTCAGACCACATGGCGGTCGTAAAAATTCACGAATGATGTAAGCCAGCCTCAACTTCTTTGTTTCGTCTCTTTCTCAATTTTTGTTCCTCATCTCTACCCAACCTTAATCTTTCCCTGTCTTTCATTTATTTTTTTTCAGCTGTAATTTTTATGCAGGCTGTATTGACAAATGAGTATATTTTTAAAAAGGCCAAAGTGTATACTTTAATTGCATTGAAACATTTATGGCTTTAGTCTTCTTCTGCTGACATACCTCAATAGATGAGCAAAATTAAGCAAACAAAATTGTACTTAATTTTGATGATTTTAGTTGAAAAAGAAGCAACAAAGGAAAGGAGGATAGCTTTGTTGTGAATCACAGCTTTACTGTGTGAACAAGCAGTTAGATTTTATCACATTCCATGCTAGATATCACATCTTGTGTTGAAGATACTGCACAAAACTGCCTCTGCTCATTTGTTATGATTCATCATATCTTTATCATGATTTATGTCTATCAGGTTTCATCTGACCACGAAGAAAGCACAAGGGGTGATCAGCGGGGTCCAGACTGGACCGTTAGATCATGAGATTACCTGGAGTCGGGAACTGCCAGAGACTTGTCGTCTCTCAACGTAAGTTATTAAACCTACTGCTTACAGGGGAGGGAGGGGGGGGGTGGACCAGATGTTCCCTGTATTAAGCCAATGGGAAGTAGAGAAATTTGGTAGTCGGGAAATTAAAGTAGTTTTGAATTGATTGGTCCATTGCACATCATGTGATGAAATACAACTCTAGAGATCATGTGGAAAGTCCTTTGATGAAAGGAAAGTGAAATTTCTGTCCAAAGTTCCCATAACATTTAATTTGGCTAGTATAATACCAGGGGATTACAGGTCAATGGGTGTGGAGCTCTTTCTTATTATTATTATTATAATTCTGTAACAAAATGAATAGATACAATGAATTCAGTTTTAGAATGAAGATGAAGCATGAATATCATGATTACATGGTTTTTGTTTGCTCATTTAGTTAAAGAATTGACATAATCTTTACAGAATGAAGAGTTTGACACATAACTCATTGGATTTACTTTACCTGGTAGTCACTTAAACCTGCATTAACGTTAGTGTACTTTTATGAATATCGGCAACAATTAATCTCTATATTTCAGAGGCCTAAAGAAGTTGATTACACCCCTGCTGGCTGGCTTGCTGGAGAGTAATCCCAGCACTGTGGGGTCCTTTCAACATTTCTTTCAAGCTTCACAGGCCATCACCACCAAGATAGCCATAGACGTCTTTTGGGTGTGTGAAGCATCTTACATGAAGATCTACTGTAGACCCAGTGATAGGTAAGTTTGCAGTAAAGCAAGTGGTTTGAACAATGCTTTGAAACCTGAAGGTACCAGCTCAAAGCAGAGCATTACAAATTAAGGCAATCTAAGGATATTGAAGTCAATTACTCAGGCCCGGGGATAGGACTGCAATCTGTATTTATTGTCAATTTATAATTAAGGTGTAATTTATACTTCAACATGGTCATGAAAGTAATTGAATGATTTATCTTTTTTTATTTTGTCTGTGTGGGCTTTTGATACTAAAACATTGATAATATAAAGGGGGAGGATGTTGGAAGAATGTTAAAAAGTTATTAGGAAATTGGTTAATATTTTTTCAGAACGAACATGTCCTGGATATTAAGACATCATTTGTCTCTGTAAGTTAATTTTGTCAGTGACCTAAGCGTCAGTCATTATATATCCAACTCATTGCTTTCTCAAACATGCAGGTTTGCTGAGTTTCAAGAACACATCGCTTCTCAAACCAAACTCTCAGCCACCAAGCAGACCATCTTGCACAATGGTGAAACCTTCAAACCAGACGGAGCTCTCCCCATCAGCCGGTATCCTATCACCTCTGTTGCCAATCCCATCATGCTTAGCAATAAGGAGCAGATACATGTCCAGCATCAGATAACTCCACCTTTTGTCGGTCAGTTGAATTTGTTGTTGTTAGAGGTTTATAGTAACAATGAGTTTTATATACCTAGTAATATATTTCGTTAAATATTCAATGAGCTAGAAGACGAATACAAATTGATCGGAGAGATGATTATTTTTCTCTTAAATTCCTCATTAGAATCCTCAAACTGCCTTGATTTACTTGTGAAATAGAAAACTTTATTGATTTTAAGTTATATGTCATCAAGTCCAGAGATAATTCAAGCACAGGTGTAAGTAAGACTAAACACTTCGTGATCATACCAGCTTATTTTTAATTTCTTGATTTTATGAAAGATGATACTGCACAAGTCATAACATACCTACTTCAGTTATCAATAAAGGTGATGGGGGATAGTTGCAAAACAGCTGTGCAATAAATGTTCAGACTTTACACCAATATTTCATAATCCTTCATATATTTTTTTCTTGAAAATCCATAGATTAAATAAATGTTGTCCCCCTATGTCATCATATTTTCCTTATATTTTCCAGTTATCAATACAGGTGATGGGGGATAGTTGCAAAATGGTTGTGCAATAAATTTTGAGACTTTACACCGATATTTCATAATCCTTTATATATTGTTTTCTTGAAAATGCAAAGAGGAAATAAAATATTTCCCCCCTATGTCATCACATTTTATGTTTACCTTACAGCTACTATGCCTGCCCTTCGACCTCGATTTTCAACACAGAATGATTACCCAATAGCAAAGGTATATTGCAGAGGAATTTAACCCTATCATTTTCAATGGGTTCTATGCTTGTTTTTGTTTGCTTGTACACTCCAAACTAGCTTGTCAATTTTACTGATTATATCGAAATTTTATCAGAAAACTTCTCTTTTAAATAAGTGAACTTCCATATTAAACTTTATCTAGTGGAATGTGTGTTGTAATTAAGACACCTCTTGGTTTAGAATATGTTTTTTTGTACATTTCTAAGAACATTTTATTATTGAGTACATGTACATGTACTGTTTATGGTTGCTGTCCAGACATACCCACTAGGGTTATACAGCAACCAAATTCCAATTTGTTTTTATTGTGAATATTTTACTATTTGAATAACTGCAACCAAAATATAATAATTATGTTTAAGAAGTACTTCTATTATATTTACTGTATGTTGATTTTACTGTTTTTATTATGGAATTACGGAATTGAATAAATGCTGAATTGAATTGAATATTAATTATTCCTCCTGGCACATTATGTAACCCTTTCCTGACATTCTCTTCGTGACCCTATAAGGACCTGCTCAATGATATTGGCTTAACTGGAGAATACCCCAGTCACAATTAAATGTATTAAGAATATGTGTAAAGTTAGGTTTGTCGTCAGTGTTAGGCACCAGGATTACGGTTATGGTTAGGGTTCCTTGTTTGATGGAGTGTTCTGCAGTTAAAGGGTTAGGGTCAGGGCCACAGTCAAGGTAAGAATCAGGTCGGGGTTAGGGTTGTGCGCTAGGGTCAGGGTTAGGATTAGGGTCACTTATGCGGTGGGGTATTCTGCAGTTATTCCACAGTATTACATACAGAACAGAACCAGCATCTATATTTTTCTTTAATTTGAGTTTTATATCTGTTGTCTCTCAGGGTGCTTTGGCCACAGGGTGTATCCTTCAGATACGACAGAAGATGATACATGAGATGCATGGGCTGTTTGATCAGTATGTTATAACTCTACGGTAAGTTGTTATGGAGATGAACTGTATTTGACAGGTTAAATACAGCTGATTCAGAACATGATAGCATGTGAGAAAGTGCTACATGTACACATTAATATCACATTTGAACAACAAGGCTCATATTTCTTCAGTGAGGTCATTGTGAAGTTGTCTGGATGAATGTAGGATTTTTTTTTATAGTGAAATATTGGATAAGGTATCTTTGTGTATTGAAATAATATCAGTAACAGCGAGATTGTTTTATTGCCATTAAATGCCTCGTGTACCTGTACCAGCTAATGCATAAATCTAAAAAAATTGTACAATCTATCTTGTCCTGTATCTATAGAAATAATAAATAGAATTTATTTTTAAAAGGATAACAAAACAATTTCAAATGTACTGAAGTTCTGTTGAAATCAAAACATCTTATGATCTTTCAAAATGTTATGTGTTTCCTTGCTAGCATTTTTTCATTCTTAAAAATAATTTTATTTAAACAATATTTGTTTGGGTTTAGCGATCGGTTGAAGATGGACACCTTGAGATTACAAGATCACCACAAGTCTGTGAAGAGCAAGCTCTCCATCATGTCAAATTACTTAAGAGATGGAAGACGGATTCTCAACCTCCAGGGGAATACTCAAAAAGGCCGGATCAGTGAAATCACTCATCAGCTTGAGCATAAACTTGAGGAAGGCAGTCATGACCTTATACAGGTAATTTTGTTCAACCTTTACTGCTCATTGGGAGGGACATGGTATTCTGTCCACATTTGTCCCTCTCAACCCAGGTGCTTTGAATATAGGAACCTAGCAATCCTGAGATGATTTACGGTTGCATGACCCGCAGGAAGAGCAGTATGAATATCAATGTGGCTACCTTGGGCAAATTATATAAAGATAGTAATTATTAATTGCTTCATTTAATAAACAGCTATATGAAAATAATGTAGATGTTTGATTGTGCTCTTATATCTTGATATTTCAATTATGGTATATCTTTTCATTCTCTAATATTGATTCTTTTAATGTTAACTTCATATCAAGTGCATTTTCTTTAAATTCTTTTTCATTTTGCAGTTTGAGATGCAGAGCAATGAAATTGATGAGATATTGAATCAACTTCACTTAGATGTCTTTGTCAATGATATCCTACAAAGCATTTGGAAGCCTTCCCAAGGGTGCAATGTCCAGGATGAAAAGTGGTATGTTAAAATTTGAAAATATTCAGTATCATTCTTTTTGAAGAGTTTTGAACTAAGAAGAATGATGTTTCTACCTGTACATGTACATGGATGAGTGTGCAATTTTTAATTTACGTTACACTTACGATGAGAGCTGAGCTTCAAGTTCGTAATAAAACGAACATGAGCAGAATTGATATTCTTAACCAAAGTTGCGATTTGCCAAGTACATGTGTGAAGAAATTTTAAATGAAATAACTGACCCTATAGAAACAACTATGCCTCGAATATTAAAAGCAGTCAATATATATTTTATATACCGAAAAAAAGGAAAATGTTGACTTGCACTCAAACACCGGTATTGCGCATCGGTCATCACACAAAAGAAACTTATACGGTAACACGTAAACCAAAATGGGGATCGCAGCAAAACGACGTCACGTTTCACAGCCATGGAAAAAGTGCTATGAAAAATGGATATAAACCGGTAGAGCCGGGAAAAATGACTATGAATTTCAATTAGCGGGCATGGTTAAGAACATGACTGCATTTTCAACCAATCAGAAGACAGGATTAGTAAAGAATCTTAAAATGAGGTATATAATACATAATACCATTTTTTTTTAAAAAGTACTTTCTTTATGATGATTCACTTTATATGCTTTGCTATAGAGGTATCATGAAAGTTTAACATTGTTTCTTTTGTTTCCATAGTTCCACAGAGCTTGTACATTTGACAGATGAAATGGAGGATATCTTTAAGCGATTCAGCAGAGACAAAAAGACAGGCAAGCTCTCCTACAACGAGGAGCAAATACACAAGATGGAAAAGTAAGTCTCCTTTATAGATATTAACCTGTTGACTACTAAATTCTCTAATTCCCATAGGCTTCATACAGGGACCATCCAGTTCCAGTAGGCAATGGGTTAAATAAGTCCAAGGTATTTGTTCATTATGTGTTCTATGCACTTCCCTTCTTAGAGGCTGATGAATAGACATTGACATCAAAAGTAATTTATGAAGCTATAATAGGGCTATTAACTTCATATGAAGGAGACACAATGGCTCAGTGGTAAAGCAGTGGTCTCGTAACTGGGAGGTTCCAGGTCCAAAACGAAGTCGATGCACTAGTGCCCTTTGGTAAGGCATTAATCCTCATTACCTATTCCCTCGGAGAGGATTTAAAGCCATCGATCCCCTTAACTGCTTACTTACAAGCATACACATGCTTTCTTAGCAGTCAGGTAAAACAAACCCATCAAACCAAACCAAACCGATATAGACATTAAATTTTGTAAACCTATCAAGTAAATGATTACATGAGACAAAGTAACTTTTAAGTTGACTTTCATGAATATTATCTTGTATAAGTAAGAGAAACAGATAAATTGAGGCTGCAGTCTTGGTTAGATAGAGCATTATACAGTCCCAGTCATTCTCTTTTACGTTTCTTTTTTCTTTGTGTAGACTGAGTCTTGGTGACCTAATGAAGAGAACCATGACTTGTATTGGAGGATGTGAAGAAAGATGGAGATCGCAACACAAATTACTCATGGTCTGCCACAAGTAAGTGTTTCCCCTAGGAGCCTAACCAATTTCATATTTCCAACTCAGTTACATTCATAAGAATAGGATATGTGATATTGTACTTTCTGGATGTCACTCGATGAAGGAGATTCAATCCAGAGTTGAAAGGTTAAATGCTAAACAAAAAAAGTGTTTGTATTTGTGATTCGAGCCCCAAAATGATCTAATGATTAAGAGGTGACTAGCTTATTGTTTTGATAAAAATGGTCCTTAAGTTTGAAAATTCTTCAGTCTCCGAAGTAGTTATCTATCACAGCAAGTTTTTGATTTTAAAAAAAAGTAGTTACTGGTACATATAAACTAGTTTTTTGTAAACAAATGAAATGATATGATCATGTATTCAACAAGAGCTTTTTCTTTATTTCTTCTCAATACTAGATCTAAAGATTATTTGCAACGGTTTCCTTCAGTAGTTGTACAGTTGTATGAGACCCTTAACACTAATTTTGAATGGATATTTTTCTTTTCTCCTCCTCAGCAAAGCCTACAACCAACGACAACAGCTCCTGAAGGCAGACCGTTCATTGGCCCCTCTCGTTCATCAGTGTAACGTTCTTGAAAATACAATCAGTGATGTAAGTAGAATAAATTTGGCTAGGGGTGGGGATGAGGATGAATTGGGAATCTGGTATCCTCTCTATGCTCTTTATTCATATCCTGTATGCTTATCTTGATTAAAGGATTGGAGAATTAAAAGTGTCGTTTGCTTGTAACTAGATAGCTAACATTTCCTAGAGTTTAAAATCACTGCAATAAAAGTGTAATTTTGTTTATTGTTGTGGAGTGTCTACAGGACTTCAGCCAATATTGCCTACACTTTCAATTCAGTAGATATTAGTTGAAATATGTGAGGTTAGACTTGTCATGTTTCTGATCGTATCAATTAACCAATTTTTTAATAGATCAAAGAATTAGAAGATAAATTGACCAATTTGATAACCAGAAAATGATATTTGAGTTTTACTGTGTTGCTTGAGTTAAAAGTAACAAACTCTAATACATATTTCTTCCTTTTTAATTCAGGTTTCTGTAAATCTAGTATTACCTTACATACAGATGGCATGACAAGTGCTGCACAAATAAGGAATGTTGTTATTTGAATTAGCGATGTAACATCCTACTATGATATGTGCTGCACAAATATGATATATATATATATATTTGTATTCACAATATGTTGATATACATCTCAGTTCAGTTAGTAGTGACTAATAGATTTAATCATCCTCTTTTTTTGCCCTCCTTTATACAGCTTCACTCCCAATGCTGGCAAATTGCTGAATCTAAAACTCCACCTCCTGACATGAAACGCCATCATACATATCAAGCTCCAAAAGAGGTGAGTGTGTTAGCATTCTGATATGAGTTAATGATCACACTGTAAGGTATTGTGTGTTTAGCTCGAGCCCGAAGGTCGTTAGTTCAGCGTTCCAAGTGTAGGAGTTTTCATAGCACTTCTGGCTCTAGACGGACTATCTGTGCATTTTTAGATGACACAAAATTAGCACACAAATTGGCATGATTGTGAATTAACTTTCTGTTTTTATGTGACATTATGTCAGAGATTACTTAATTTTATTGCCATCCCTTCATACATGTATCTCATCCTCCACAGATCCTTCTCAGTGCAAGCACCCAGACCTCTCTCCCGAAAGAAGAGACACCATCCCATCACACCAGTCTCTTGCTTGACCATCACTACGACCAACTCACCAAAGGGGGCAAGCCTCTCGTCATGGGCAAATCAACTATCAACACTCAGAGGTCACCCTACTCGGTTGATCGGTCATCCGGTCAGTATCCTGAGCTTTACCAAACAGCATCAGCCTTATCTGAACCCTCTTGTGGCACGAGCCAGTATCGGTATGATGCGCCTCTCACAAGGGCGCGTTCGTCACCACCTGAGTTAGTGGCGCGCGGTATTTCAAGAAGGTGGGTTCACTTTACAAAAAGTATGCTGGTGTGAAATCAGGATCATGAATAATGCAAACAAAATTTGAGAACCAAGTTTCTCAACAGTTTAATTTTGAAATTTGAGTGAAATCTGGTCTTATAGCATTCTAGCAGAGTGATTTAGGAGGATTAATACACAAATGTGCAACTTGAGAGAATGCATTGACATATTTATCTCTCTTGTCTGTATCACTGTCAGGGATGATTTGCCCTTGGTATTTTTCTGAAGTATGAGCACAGAGTGTGCAGATAACCCTATTTAGAATGCCCTTGAAGCGTCCCGATAAGTTGCTTCATGGTGCATGACCTTGATATGACCTCTGAAGCATTGTTTTATTTAAAGGGGCACATTCAACCCTTGATGCTTGGAGGCATTTTACATCAAAATGCCAATGGAAGTTTCATTTTGCAGTATGTCCAGGGGGCGTTTCACAAAACTTGTCATCAGTGACAAAAGACAGTTTTTGTTATAAGCTACTGAAATCCTTGCTTCTGATTGGTTTTCATCAGAATTGTCACTGATTTTTGTTATTTGTCACTGAAAAAAGGCTTTGTGAAATGCCCCCCAGATGTACAAACTGTTTAACCATCAATATGGATCTTTTGGGTTTACTAAATCTGAATGCTTGAAATGATTTCTCCAGGTCTCCAGATACTCCATCCGAGTTGTATGGTGTGGATCCAACACCAGGAGCCATAGGAGGGCTCCAGGATCTGAGAGCTCCTGCAGGAGATTACCAACAAGCAGAAGGACCCAGGATGATCAAAGTATCCAAGGAATTTAAGAAGAGGTAAGTCCATTCTCATTTCATTTCCTTTTCTTTTATTTTGTTGGATTGATTAGTTAAATCAATTATTCTACTTTAAAATGGTATTTGAAAATGGCTTTTACAGCAAAATACCTGAAATAATTTTTTGTAATCATGCTGAAAATGGTTTGCAGTGATATTTATCTGAAAATTACTACTAACCTCAATTTATCAGTTCCCTTGCTACCTGTTATCCATTTTTTGTGGGAAATAACATACATCATTTATTTCTCTTCCTTTTGGGGGTGTTCTTTTCTATCTAGGGTGGCAGACTATAGAAAGGAGTCTAACACTTCATATCACATTCAAAGGGACTTGGCTGAATTGACTCAGTTAGAACTTGAGAGTATGTCCTTGGAGTCACCTGAGATGCCTCGATACACTGCAGATTCTAGTCTGCTTGATACACTGACAGGGCCGGGAATGGATGAAGGGGATGAAAGCATCCTGGAAGGTTTAGACATCAAACGTCCACCAGTATCCTATCAGTCAGGCACATAGTGACAGTGATTCTCGCTTTCGCCAATACCCAGCCCGGCCTATCCCAGAGTGCACATGAAATTTACATCCTTGCATTTTTGGGGTATTGGCGATAGCGAGAATTGATTAACTAGAGTACCTTCACATCGCATTCGAGTCTGGAGAACTGCACTTTACACCATGCACTTGGTTTGGAAGTAGGTCTGTGAGTGATTTTACATAAGATCTGCTATTTATGGGAGGAACATGTATATCATACATACTGGTATTCATTTGTAAATGGTTTCACTCTAAGATCATGAGGAGCACAACCTAGAAATGCCCAGTTCTCCAAATGACGTCAGGACTGCGCCAAGTTGAAGATAGAAAGTATAGGTGTGGAAAGAAAATGCACATTAAAGACAGCACCTTAAAGTTGGAAGGATAGACATGGAAAGAGAATGTGCATCAGACCAGTTTCTAAATCAAGACAAAAAGTTTGGATAAAGACCTTTTGTTTACTATTGATTTTTTAAATGTTGTTTTGATGTCATGTGGATAGTGATTGATAGCTTGTAATAGTTTGCTGTATGTACATGGTACAAGATTGTTGGCAAACATTGACAGCATAGAGTAAAAGGATACCGTGAGAAGTCTTCAGATTGCCCTGTTATGAAGATCTGGGGCGGAAACTAAAAGGAGGATCAGTTTATGAAAACAGAATTACATTGTCATGAGGCAATGTTAACAGGAGCAATATTCTGCAAATACATTTGGTGTAGCGATGAATCACAAATTTAGCAAGATGTAGAGCATAAAGATTCAGTACCTGTCATTTTCTTAGAGTGTTTTGACAATTGTTATGATGACAATGTCTTGTGCAATGACATACTTGCAAGTATTGATGAAGATCTGATGCACATTTGTAGCGGTGATTTGATTGTTACATTGGGGTGCCAAGCCAACAGCTCCCCGTGCTGCACCCTGGATAAAACCGTAGCTCCATTCTCATCCTAATCCACTATAAAATTAGTGGTTTACCATATATGTAGTATATATATATATATATATATATATATATATATATATATATATATATATATTCAAGGACATGTATCGATCAAATTCACCAGGTGCAGTTGTCAGCTCTGTATTAACGCCTTTGTAATAGTTGACAACTAGCATGTTAAACTTGTATAACTATGAGCCCAGTGTTTCCTTGTGAATATCGCAGTGATTTGGGGGAATTCCTCATTTGGACTTCTGCGGATTAGTCATACTTTCGTGATGAGCAGGGTGGGCAGTCAAAATTGATAGGATGAGAATGGATCTGTTTACAAGCCAAGAATGTTGTCATGAATTTTCCGGTTAATAGAAGGGCACTTTATTTTGTACCTTGTTTTTGTTCAATTTTTCAACTGCTGATAGTACCCTGCAAAGTACACTGCATTTAAGCACAGATTAATCAGTATTTTACAACATCACAAATAAAAATGGACTATGTTTGCCCTTCACAGATGGTTTATTTCAAATCAGATATCTCATATATAACCAATGAGTCCTGGCAACATTCTTGTTTATCGTTAAAAACTGAAGGTTGGCCATATAATCCACATGAAAAACATGTAATTTTAAAGAACACTTTCAAAGATTTGCACTCATTGTCTCATAAGCATCTGCAAGAAGTGTCTTGTGTGTTTTTTTTAACATGTATTTTGTACAAAATTTGACAATATAAAAAATATGCTGCTAAATGTTGTATAATTTATCTTGCATCCAATACATTCTATGTTGGGAAAATATTTAGTATAAATCCATTTTTTTTCTTCGCGGCAGTGAAAATTGTGTAAACAGATTGTAACAAAAATTGAAAACATGAAAAAGAAATCAATGAATAAGTGCAAATCAAAGAGAGAAAATAGCTGTTGTTTCATGTGGATTATTCAGCATTTGCTCATAGAATTTTGTTCCTGTTAACATTGCTGATCTTTGATATGTGTTGGTACTGCTGTTGTATTCATTAATTAACTTTAAAGAAACAAAATTTCTTTTATTTGTGGTTTTCGACTTGTTTCTTCAAAATGAACGTTGACGACATTATCTAGTATATTTCACTAGACCTGAACTGTATAGTTTTCTTGAGTACTAATTGTAAAAACTGTGAATTACAATTTACAACATTGGTTTCTATCGATCCATATGTAAGTACACTGAAAGCTCCCTAAAAGATTACATACATGTATATTTTTATATCGTTTCATATCTGTCTACTGTGTCTATTATTGTATATGAGTGTAACAGTATTATTCAATATAAATGTTTTATATCAAGTTTCATATGTTGTTGATTATATAATCTTTCAAATTTTTTATCATAGTCGAACCCTGTAGTACCTTGTTGTGATTGTGCTGTATTTGTAAATCAAAGATTGTTTTCCAATTAAATTTGAAGCTTTTGTATATCGTATGTTGAAGTTTATAGCTTTCATTCATACTTCATTATTATGTGAATACTACAGGACACTCATAAGTTAGCCTACTAAGCGCCATGAGCACCGGAAGGAGGACCTGTGCGCTATACAAGTAGCCACTATTATCACTATTAATCCTCTGTTCTCTAGTCTACAGCCTAAAAATATAATTCACGTTTTAAAATGTCTTGCTCTACTTCCTTGTTTTAAACATCCTATACAAACATTTTAGACAGAAATCAATAAACACATTGTTCAGAAATAATGTTGAATCATGCTTGTCATATGAAACACAATTGATGACGAACTTGAACTAAACATTGATACTTGTGCTAAAGCTTTGCTCTTTATTCCACTTATTCTAGATAGATGCAGTCATTTTGCAAATGAAGAGATTAAAAATTTACATTAGCATATATTCAATATCTGTTATCTCATTTTTCCTGAAAGGGAATTGATTCAAAACAATTTAGGAAAATATATTCCTTATAGAGATAATTATTAGTTATGGAATCTTTATGATCTATATTATTGGGAATTATATCAGATATAAATTATTATTTATATTAATTATCTCATTGCTTGATTCAAAAAGCCAATTTATTTCTGAATCTCATCATTACCATTTAAAAGATGACATAAGTATTCAGGGAGTATTAATTATACAATTATTTATGTTATCATAAGTGGTGAATTTATTGTGCTAAATCAGTTTGGGGGTTGCTTAATGGAAACTATCAAAGAGATTTGAACATATTGCTTATCTTCATGTGGATCCGAAAAATGGTTCTGTAAACGTGGTAATACATGTACAATGCAATTTTTACCAACATATATATATACATACACACATCATATCTGGGCACAAGAAGGTCGATCTGATGAATATTAAAAATCATATTCCCAAAGACTAAAGATAATTTGTCATATTTATACACTTTTTTGTTTTTAGTTGTGTGTCCTTAAAGTAGCACTGTAAGTTTTTTTCCATCCCAGTGCAGTAGAGTATTTGTATAAAGTAACTATTATTTGTATTATTACTATTATTAACGTTATTATATATTGTTGTTATTATTGTATCCTACCTTTTCTAAATTTATTGAATTTGTTTAAAGTTTCATAAAATTAGTGGTTTGGACAGTTTGCATTACACGTATTGCTTCCATGTGTTTCTAAGATATTATGAAAACCTTGTTTGTTTTGTGTTTGGTGAAGGGAAGGCTTGATTTAGTTTGCTCCTGCAAAATATATCTGGAACAAAGTGTACAAAACAATGATAACTTTGACATTATAAAATACTAATCTGCTGGCACAGACCTGTATAAGTCACTAATGGAAATATGTGATTAAGGCTGAGCATTTAAAAGTGTTTAATTGTGTAGTTCGATCTCCATGGACAGCAATATCAGACCCTTTAATCTAAAGGCGATCTGTTGGCCTAAAAAAAGACTTGTGCTGGTCACTGAATAGTGGTATCATTTGTTAAGATTTATGTAACTGCCACTGGATGGCCTTTAATGCACATGTTTGATGCATACTTGAATGTATGTCAGTATTATCCAGTTGTACACCCCTTCAACCTGTAACCCAAATCGTGCTGGCCACCTCGCATACACAGGTTGAAGCGGTACAAGTGACATCATTCAGTCTATACAGTCTTGCCTGCACAAATAATTTTGCCTTAAATCTTTTGTTGTTTTTGAAGTGTTGACATTCATTCGGTTTTGTTTGATTTTGTAGGAATTAAAAGTATTTTAACCCCTCAAAAATTTTTGAAAATCAAAAAAGTTTAGAAACTAAAATGTGATTGCTTCTATTTTCTCTTCTCAAGGGATATCTGTTCCTTTGTTCACTACCATTAGAGAGTATGTTTATTTCTATTTGAAATGATAACATACTTGTTATGATTTTTCAGCCATGGAATGAGCAGTGCATCAGAATAAGGGGCAAAGTCCGCAAAATGCACTTGTAGACACTGGTATTGTTATGCAGTTTACTACACAGCAAAACAAGCGCAGTGCATTTTGCAACATTTCACTCTTGACCTTGCCCCTCATTTTGATGTAATGCACATTCCATAACAGAAAAATCGTATCAAATGGGGTATGATCATTTTAGATAGGAATAAACATAATCTATAATGATACTAAACATAGCGATGATTATACCATAACAAGAAAGTTATAATCATCAAACTTGGGTTTCCAAACTTATTTGAGGGGTTCACATGTAGGTTCACCCTAGCTACCCTTCGCCCAACAGGTTTGCTATTTACATATTGTTGTTTAAACCATTAAAGAAATAGGTATTTTTTATATACATTAAAAGAAAAACATTACAAATAAAATAATCTTTTTCATTGTGTTTTTCTTTCATTTACACACCTTTCATAAAACCGTACCTGCGGGGTGTGCAAATGATGTGCTTTTGAAGGACATTAAACCCAAATGCCCTATGTCGTACATCTTCATAAGAAATTAATACACATTTTGAAAACTACACTGATTGACTGCGAGGTGAAATACACATGTAGTGTATATTCATCCAAATTCATCCGACACTTACATAACTTTCACATTTTCACATTCCTAAAAGAATAAAAAGTGGTTAAAGAACATGAACGGCAGTAAAAAGTTTCAATAATAATAATAATAATAATTAAAGTGCTTATATAGCGCCTAACACTTACTTTGTCAGAAGTCTCTAAGCGCAACGGTCACATTATAATGTAAACAAGACATGACATCAAACAAATATTAAATATTTTTATTGCAGAACGCACCGGCTAATCATAAATTGTTGACATTAGACTTGGAATCAAACAGTAGGCTAGCGTGAAATGCATTATGATTCAGGCGCGGATCCACGGGGGGGGGGGGGGGGGCCTAATAATAATAATAATAATAATAATAATTTTTTTTTTTTTTAGTAAGTAAGCACACAATCCGCCCCCCCCCCCCCCCCCCCCCCCCCCCCCCCTGAGCGAGATATTGTTTGGCGCAACTTTCTCATTTTCGGGGTCAATTACGGGGGGGGGGGCGACGATTGCATATACAATACGAATAGAGAAGACTAAGCTTTGAAGAAATTGGCTATGCTACCGAAGTAGCCAAGACGTACGAAGCCCCCCCCCCCCCCCCCCCCCCGTCCTGCACCACCACCACAAGTAGAGGAGCAGGAGCAGCCTGAACATTTCGCGCTGTTCACCGCCGCCAGATGAAGATGGCCGCTGGCATCTGGGAATATAGTGTAAATGTAGCATTACCTCTCATTCGTCCAAGGTTAAAAGATTCTCTTCATCATATATAAAAATAGAATCAAAATTATTATGAAGGTTCGCTTACTTTTCATCACGATCTTTCTTGGTCGTGTGATTCGTGTTGATCAAACATGGTTGCATCGGTTTTTGCCGAGCCCATCCTTGGCTCAACTAAGTATATACTGTTCACAAAATGACGTTAAAACATGGACGCAGAAACAAGGAAACGAAGAAGGCAAGTTTTGCTTTTATGTGATTACAATCTGAGTTTATGTTTTATTGTTCAATGTCCAAATGATCATGACTAATGCTTGAATCCTGGTCACTGTTTCGTTACGTTTAATAACACCTATTTGAAAGTCCTATAAATTGAACATAATTACTTTCTAACGATATGGTGATGTTATTTGTTAATTAAGCATAAAACGTTTTACACGAATGTGAAATGTGCTATTGTTTCGCGTTATTTTGGTGAAGAAATTAATCAACAAAACTGGTTAACTAGCTATTGATAAAAGTGTTTTTTCCACTAGATCGAAGAGTTTATTTTGTAGAAATTTAGGTAAAGTATGGTTCTAATTTCAGGCGCAAGCCTAGTATAGATTTACGGTGGCACGGGCCAACCGCTCGAAAAATATCTTCACTCACAGACTTGACCAATTTTCTGAAAGAACGTTTAAGAGTATTCTTTCACAGTCATTTTTGATGAAACGACTGATCAGTTTTTAGAGTGCAGGGGAAACTATTTTGAATAGCAAACAAAACCCAAAAAACATTATCATCAAGAATTTATCCTGTTTTAATATACAGGGTCGCAATATTCCTCAAAATGTGCACTACATAATGTGATTTCATAATAAATCACCCTCATATTTTACATAGCAATTTCAAAATTTGTCTTATTCAACATAATAAAATCACATCTCACTAACAGAAAAGTGTAGTGATACTGTAATTACGATTTAAATTTACCAAAAACAGGCGGACATGTGTATATAGAACTACATGTACATCTATGTGGGGTTTTTTTTTTTTTTAAACAACTTAGAAATCACTTAAAATTTTCAACTTAATGTGCTCTTTTGGAAAGGCCGGCAACCCAAGATTCAAGATTCAAGATTTTATTGTCCATAATATAATACAGAATTTTTTTTTCCATTGGTGTACATGTAATATATAAAACATAAGACAAAAAACATTGTGTCGTGTGCTGAAAGCCAGAAGGGCGTCAAGACTCTATAAAGAAAAAGTCTATGAGCAGTATTCTGAACATTGTTGTAAGTTTTGTGTTATCTTTTGTTGTATCTTCCAGAGATAACACAGCGCTAATATTGTTGTAAGTTGGTATTCTGAACATTGTTTTATCCCTGTGTTATCTCTTGAAGGACCGCCTCTATCTTATCTTTGACCATTGATGACACGCCCATTTTTATGGACCCTACCAATCAAAATCTATTTTATATAAGCATGATAAGTAGATCAACCAATAGGAATACTTTATGCCATATCTGAAGATGCGCCTAGCGCATGCTAATCTTGGGCGTAATTAGTTATTTGAGCACTTATTACGCGCGTCATCATTATGCGCTGTTGAATGTGGATCATGAAGACAAATCACGCTTTCACTATATTGGTTAAGGTGAGAGCATTAAAATAGTCCTATCCTAGCATGTAATATCTTAGAAAGTTCTCATCTGTGATGTTTCCGGTCAACACACAATCTTCTTCTAACTCGTCT